ACTGCTGTTGGACGCCTAATATGACCATCTGTTGCTGCCTCTGCCTCTCATATGTTGCCATCTTGTGGACAATTTCAAATCTGTCCAACTTCATTTGCACAAATACACCAATTAAAATGTTCTTGGGATTCCACACACAGATTTGAGCGAGTTACAGTGTCAGTCCTCACTGCTGTAGAAGCTCTAACAGTCAACACAACAGATCTGATTGTTATCCTTGGAGACATCGCAGGATCTGATTTCAAAAATAATATTATTCTGCAGGAATGTATATGAGCTTTTTGACGTAAATGTGTGTGCAATGGCAATTTTTAAGAACCTATACAACCCTTTGACCTGGTCATTGTAAAACCATACGCAACTGTTAAAGAAGCTATTTTATGCATATAACCTTTAACCCTGTTTCTAACTACACTCTATGTCCAAGTAAACAGTGGGATGTTGAGACTTCACTAAGAAGCCAAGGACATGATCATCTGACCATGTCTGTTTACTGTCCCAGAACTCAGGAATGTGTAACTGTGTTAGAGTGATGCTCCAACAGGGATAAAACCATACTGCTTCTTCCAATTGAGGCTCTTTTGGACTTTCACATACGAGTGTGTGTGACGGTTGCGTTGAGACCCTTTGTGGATGACTTGAATAAAACCTTACAGAAAGACAAGATCATACTTTGTATGCTTTATTAAACAAATTGCCACCACATGTGTTAAACCAGCAGTTTTTCAGTGATAGAGCAGTAAACACAACAAACTAATGTCACACTCATAATAATAAAATAAATAATCTCACTTTCCCATGAACATTGTCATGATTTTGAGATCTGCCTGGTTTGCTTAAAGGCTGAAAAGCAGAGGCTCAGTGGTCATTGCATTTACATTATCATAAAGAGGGACAGTAACATTTTATTTAATAGATTTACTTATATATAAGTAAAATCATATTCATTCCTCTTCACTTAAGGTTACCAGCTGCTTTGAATAGAATAAAAAGAATAAAGAAATAGAAATAATAACATAATAAAGAGCCTATCACTGACATATGAAAAAAAATTAAATCCTCATTTGTACTTCTTCTTTAACATTTTTGATTGAACTATAAATAAACAAGCTAGTAATATGTTTAAACAGCCCACATTGCAACATATATGGTCAGCTGTGTTGCACATTAAACTGGAATCTGACTGAAGTATTTGGAGGTTTCACAGATAAGGTTTTATGCCTTGCTTTTGCTGTGTGACATAACAATTCATCAGGAGCTGCAGTCACTTATTATCACCACTAGTGGGAAGCCTAAAGCCGGCAATGAGACACCAGCAGGGTTCAGCAAGATGTTCAATTACTCTTTGGAAATAACAGCAGTTATTGCATGTAGTACATGATTTCCTGCATCGGTCCATCCATATAATCAGAAAAGAAAAAAGTTTCTCTTGATCAATGCACATTTTTCAGCTCAACTGCCTTCATTGGGGTTGTTTCCATTTTTTGGTCAGACCAAACAATGTACAGTTATACACAGTTTAAAATATCATCACTCACCATATTCCACTTTATCGCATATAGTGTATTATATTATTATTATATTTAATTGTATTGTATTTTATTCTTTTTCTACTCTTTGCACTACATTACCCTGCGCCGCTGTGCCAAATTTGAATTTCCCCTACAGGGGATCAATAAAGGAACATCTTGTTTTATGTGAAAGCCAATTTAATTTTAATTCAGTTGAATTTTATTTGTATAGCAAATCAAAATCACAACAGAAGCTTTCTCAGGACTTTTCAAATAGAGCAAGTCTAGACCGTACTCCTTATAAAATTAAACTTATTAACTTAATGTAGTTGATAATTTTCTGTGGCTAAGCATCAAGTAAGAGTAAGTTTTAATGAGAGCAAACGCGAGGATTTAAGGGTTCTCTCCGAGGGCCAGAGAACTAACCTTTTTGGACTTCCTCCGGTGGTTTCCAGACACACTCATGTGGTGTTTAGGACTTCTGAGCTACTGGCTCAAGATGGAGCCAACCCCTCATCAGGGCTGTCTGGCAGCCTTCAGCACCTGTGGCATCTAACTGCAGTTTATATAAATATATTAAAGAAACTGATAAGCATAAGCACAGTGCACGCTCAGGTTTCTCACTGTAACACAATGAAGAAATTACTTACTCCAACCAAATGGTGTGTTTCCCATTAATTATGCTATGGCACTGCCAGTTTAACAACCCAAACTGATTTAGGAATAATACAAGTAAAAAAGTAAGTTACATTAAAAATAACATCTTGACACAGTTTGACCAGACTGCAGGGAATCCCCAACCACTGACAACACAGAAAACCAAAATAGACCAGCGACCTCTGCTTAACCATTGGATGGCTAACACACTAACCCAGATTGCTGAGAACCACCCATTCACTGCTCTGTGCTGTAACCCAGATTGCATTCTTCACACCATACTTTCATGACAAGCCATCAGCCATATGTACTGCTATATACTAGCCTGATCATCATACTCAGCTGCCATTTTTTTTTCACTTGGAAATGTGGGCGGCATTTCAGGGGTCTGGAACCAGACTACACATATGCAGTCATGTAACTGTGGAGATCAGCAATGTATCCAGCAGCACACACACAGCAGAGCTTTCTGTCTTTGATTTCACTCAGTTTGTATTTTGTTCGTTCACTTTTACATAAATTGATTTCTGTTGATGCCCAAAATAATTACTGATAAATCCACTAATACACTAATGAAGTGTTAACTCTTCTAGGAGCTATATTTAACAATCCCTTAAATCAGATCTGACAGGATGAGTCCATTAAACAGTTATCATTAGATTACTAAACATTTAAAATAAATGTCTGAGGAAGTTGAAGAATCTGATTTCTTTGTTCTTAGTCAAATCAACTCCCTAATAAATAACATGATACAATATATTATGTAAATCTTTGAAAATGTATTAAGTTCTTTTTCCCAACTTTGAGGGTCCTACTGTCACTCTGTAAATGTAAAAAAAGAAAAACCAATAAACAAACAAACAAAAAACATTCACAAGTTTGTCCCGAAAAATCCAAATTATTTCTTAAAGCAGCTATCATCAATATTCTTATATTAACAATGGATCATGTGACTGCTTCTATGTGAGAGGTGTCACTTGACAGTTCCCCTCAGCTAAAAGCATCTTTCAGCTCATTGTTTTGGTTTTCCAATCCAATCAAACTATTTTATACATCAGCATAATTTTGTGGCTGCAGAAACTTCAACTTCTTAGGAGTTGGTGGAGAGCAAAACAGACAGAATATTGGACATATCAGGTGGACAGAAACATGAGTCCAAATTTATGGTGTTGTTCCACATCTGTTGGATGTGTGCATAGGCAACTGTTTGCACTGCCCCCAAGTGGCCAAGAAAATCAGTTATTGCAAGTTTAAACCAGAAGTTACTGCTCTATGCTAATCAATGATTGAAGATTTGCTACGGTGTGGTCAATCTGAGTTATGACAGTGTGAATGAATTTAACAATTTACCACTCAAAAGGGTATCCAAGAGCCCGTAGCTGGATGTCTAACACATTGTTATACTGTACCAGCTGACAGCATTTAGAGATGGTCTGTTTCCTGTCTCCCACAAAACACTGAAATACTTCTTACCATCTGGATCAATTTAGTAATTGATTTCCAACTGGGATAGGCCTTCCCCTACCACAGGGGGTATTTCTGCAGTTGGGGTCTTACATGGAAAACTTAATTAGCTCTACTTAGCATAACTACAAAAAATAGAAATAGTGATTTGATTTAAATAAACAGCCAAATAAGATCAGATTAGGGTGATGCTGCTCTTTAGTAAACACAGACTACACTAGTGAGCTACACATTTTGAGTGTGTGTTAGCAAAGGAACAGAAAAGATGAAATAGCTAGTTAAAAGTAGCTTTTATGTTTTTTTATTTTATTTCTTTCAGCTTGCTCCCCATAGGGTCGCCACAGTGCATCTGATGATCCGCATATTTCATTTGGCATCGGCTCCCTACAGCAGATACCTTTCCTGACGTATCCCTCAGTCCAGGCTTGAGACCAGCAGTGGCTGGGAGGCAAAATGAGGTTCAGTGTCATGTAAGTCGTGTCAAATAAAGTGACAGTTAAGTAAAGTCAGTATTGGATAAACATATGAAATAGATAAAAGTAATTAATAAATAGTTTAAATAGTTCGCTGAAAGTCATGCGTAAATGGTTGAAATGTCCAATGAAATGCTCTGCCACTCCAAGTGTAATAAAAACATATTCAATAACAATTTTCACCTTTATATAACAAATAGTGTTAAATAACCACTACTTTACTTTAGCTCGTCTAATAGGACTGTCAGATTAAAAGGCTGAGACCACTGCATTTCATCATCAGATCCCCCCTGTACTTACATTTCTGTTTAACAGCAGAGAAGTATGATGAGAAAGTGGTACTTTCACAAATGGATGTTGGATTGTGTGATGCCATTGATCCTTACAGACTCTGGCATTTGTCAAAGAAATAGTATACATATCAACACGGAGAATCAATGATAATAATACGGAATGCTGAATAATACACTGAGATGGAAAAAAAAACAAAAAACAGAATGAACAAAGAGTGAAATGGATCTATTTAGTAGATGTTGAGTGAAGAGCTAATAGAGCAGGGAACTGAAAGAAATGACAGGTGATTGAGAGCAACACCCTCTAAGAATCAGATTTACATTTCATGAAATGATGGATGACTGAAGGCTTTGGTGAGAGGGAATAAGGGATTGAGGGAGAGAAATGAAAAAAGAGAAAAGAGAGAGAGATGCAGACAAAAGGAAAAACATTTGCAGCCTGCCCTGCCCCCTCATCACTCTCTGGGGAACAAGAGATTATGGAAATGTATAAATGCAAGAGAGAAGGAGACTGACAGACAAGGAGGAGGAGAGAGAGAGGAGGGAGAGAGGAAGAGAGAGAGAGCAAATAAGAGAGGGAGGGAGACAGAGCGATGCTATTGGTTGACCGTTATAACATCAAGCGTGATAGAAATATTTCTCTCGCAGTCTAAGAAATACAGGAAGAGACAGACAGAGACAGTAGACTCAGGAAACACATTCAGGTCTGTTTTAAAAATTTCTGGAAGAGAAAAAAAGAGAGGAGACTTTAGACAGAAAGAAAGGCAAATAAGGAAGGGGAGACAATAGAAAGGTGGACTAATTAACTTAAGACTTCTGAGAGCTTTGGAGATTTTTGCAACTGGAGTGATTTCAAAATCAGAGTAAATGCGACTCAACATGTAGATGTTCTGCAGGTTTCTGGTTAAAATTTCCCCCTTTTTTACCCCCCAGAGTTGAATAATTTACCCTGCACGCAAGCAAAGACAAATCTAAATGTTTTTTTGAGAAATCTGAGGGATGCGTCTGAGGGAAAGATGCAGAGCAGAGAATTCTGACATGGTGCCGACCCAAATTGACAGAGACGAGGACAGAGTGGACTGTTCAGTGGCAGACACGTCTCCAACCAGACACAGGTATTCTCTACTCGATATTAAGATCAGTCAAGATATGGATCCATGCTAACTAAAACTATCAATAATATTGTGCTCTGATCTTGTATTTGTAAGTCCTCTTGGAATGCGTGATATTGCCATTGTGATGTTAAATAGTTGTTTCGTTTGAAACCAATATTTCTTGCCTCACTGATTTGAAATTGTATTATATTATTGCAAAATCAACCAGTAATTGGCTTTGTCAGAATATAACTGTAAAATGTGCAAAGCAATACCTTGTATCTTCAGCACATGATCAGATTTATGTGGAGGCAAATCATTTTTCAAAGATTTAGTAATAAAATAAGTAATGTACCAAGAGACTCTCTCTGTAAATAATAACTTGCAGCTGATTTGCAAACTATAGTTGTTTGCAAACTATAGTTGTTTACAAACGTGTTTTAATATGATTTAAGAAACATGCGTCATTAATGAGGTTCTGGATTGAGAGCAACAGATTAACTGAAAGCCATACGACAAACTACTGAACTATCACAAGCCATAACCATCTCAGATAATAACTCTCAGTTTTTAAAGCGCGGTGCTGTGCTTAGTATCGACGAGAATCCTGTGCCTCTGTTGTCAGCGTGTCAGTGAAACACTTTGTGGTGTGCGTTAGTGTGAGGGGGAAAAAAAATGTGTAGGCTTTGTCAAAAGAGAAACTACATGGAGGAGGAGGAGGAGGAGACAGACATTTTGCCTGTCAGAGACTGAAAAGAGGAGCATCAGGCCAACAACAGACAACTGTGGCTGTGAACAGACATATAAGTGCTTCCTAAATCAAAGCCAGACAGGGGTCGTCCTGCTGTGAGACACACAAGAAGAGATAAAGACAGAGCATGAACGGTAGCAGTAAAGCCACTGCTCAAGATGATTATTGATTGTTACTAAAACTGAGTGCTTTACCTACCTGGACGACACAGACTCAGCTCGCGTCGGAGGGGAAAACAGACAGTAACCTCCAGCAAAGGGAGGAGGGAGAGTGGGCAATAGCCAATAGAGAGAAAGAGACAGGGGGTAAACTCCCTTTCTCTCTCTCGACCCATCTCGTCATCAGGCTGGCTGGCACAGCCATGGCGTTCACCTTTGCGGCCTTCTGCTACATGCTCACCTTGGTGCTGTGCGCTGCTCTCATCTTCTTTGTCATATGGCAGGTGAGTGGCACTGTGCACACTGGAACCACTGCACACACACACTGAATCCAAAATGGGCACATGTAGGGCCTGCAAATGTCCACGCTCTGTCCCACGCAGGCAGACAAACACATCCACCTACACACAGTTGTACACTGTCAGGAACACAGCATACACACACCTCACTCAGGTCCTCTAGAGGTAATGACATGCAGAATATGTCAAAGAAAACCTCAGTGCAATTCTACTTCTGTGTGACTGACATTTTGAATTGCCCCTTAAAAGCCACCAAATGACACTTTATAACACATAATTACTTGGATACAGATTCACTTTTGACAATCCTTTTCATTTTTGAGTTGCAGGTGATGCTTGAGCCTGAAAAACAGAGAATGTTACGTCTACATTTGTGTGTTTTTTTCTTTTCCATTTCCATACAGCGACTGTAAGTGACCCTCTTACATGCTGCTTTATCAGTAGTATAATTAACTGGGGCTCCTCTGACCCTTACACATTCAACAAATAGACAAATTCCAGCTGCCTCCATCCCTCCACATTAAAGTTCCTCAACAACAAACAGTTCCCCAAACAAGGTATTCAGGCTTCAGCAAACTGCACAAAATGAGTACAGGGAGGCAGCAAAACACAGTGATCATAAATACCACTGCCAGACTGTGAATCTGTCTGCCTGCGGCATTTTGAGTGGAATTTGCACAGATACCACAGGACACCGGTGCACTCGGCTTGCTGGTAACACAAGTGCCGACTGAACAAACACTTTGCTTTGATCCCTCACCTTTAACATTCGGTCCACGGAGGCAGGAATAATGTGAAATACAAAACATATCATTATGAATATAAGACTTGAAATGACTAACGTACCAATTGACTAAGTGGGTGAGACTACATATGAGTCAGTCAGTGTGTCTGTGTGAGAGAGAGACGAAGAGAAGCGTGTGTCTGGCTCAGCACTCAACCATGTGATTGAAACGCTTATCAAACCGATTTTGCTCACCCCTTCCCCCAGTCTGCCACCACCCACGGGTACAGCACCCCAATTCTATGTGGCTCTCAACCAATCAGAACAATTGTTCACTGCTATAGTAACCATGGAGCCCGCTGAGGGGCTCACCATGTCGCCATGGAAACTGCATCTGTTTACAACAGAGCTGAATGTGAAAGAAGACGAGGGAGAGCCGTATAGACTTGTACAGGGGAATGACCACCAGGACTGTTAATATTTCAAGCAGATTAAGGTGTTCTGTTTTCATATTATCAGCCACTGTAGATGCGAGTCAGACGCTCATTTATCTGAAAATAATGTCTTTTTTTTTTTATCAACGGACTGTCAAAGTGAAGCTTCACTGTTTAAAAGCTGAACTGATGATAAGCACAGCAGGTGGCCTTTACACTGAGAATTATTAGTATCTTTATAGAGCTATTAATCAGGGAGCTAGTGAGAGGAATTATCACTCTTACATGCCTCACAGGGAGCAGTTAGAGAGCTATCAGCGCAGTGACAGTGACATTGTTTTCTCCACAATGTCCTCGGTTTAATATATTTTGATGTTTTACTAAAAAGGCCAAAGAAAACAAATTAGGCAAGGTTTTATATAGAGCTCCAGGATACCGTAATCCTCTTATATACAAACTCAACAAAGCATACATTTGAAGTTGTACATGTTATTAAAGATAGACACATAACTTTTGATGTGCGCTAGGTGTTTTAATCCTGCCAGATTATAAATAAATAAAAGTTCATTTGCAAAAACAAATAAACACAATTCCTAAAATGAATAAACCAACACCAGCTTGATTGATATTCCCTTCAGTGCACAATTTAATCTTTTTTTTTGTTTCTCCAATATATAATTTTATCAAAATAGCCCAACACTGAGGGCACCAAAAACAAAAACAATGTTTATGAAAATAGTTAACCCTTCTTGCCAATTGTAACTAAAAATTAGTTCCTTTGACATCTGTCTGTGTCTCCATGGATATTCTGTAGTCTCTAATGTGAACTTCATCATCAGGCTCAATAAAAAGAGATTGATATACAATTTGAGAGGAGAGGAAAAACAGAAAATGGTCAAATCCACTGTGTGACAACCAGGGGAGAATTTAAATCTCATCAGATAAGAAGCTACATAATGACACATGGTATAAACACAATGGAAGCTCATATACAGTGTAAAAGGAAAGGGCAAGGCTGTAAGTAATTATACAGCCCCGCATCCACCATTTAATCACCATGTGTGTTCAGGCAAAGTGAACAATATGGCTGCAGCTGTACGAGATGCAGTGAGCGTGCAGTACAGTAACTTATCCATGCCAGTCCCCAGTGCTGTACGACAGGCTTGTGACAATTTCTTAAGAGTGAAGCCTTGAAAAGATACTAGGGGTGTAAGAAAATACTGAAATATGTTGTATGGTTATAATTTGTTATTATTGATATTGACCCTTAAAAACACTGTATTGATTTTTGTAGTTAAACGCCCAACCACTTGATAGCAGTGCTGTAAACATAAACTGAGGGCTATGATGTTGGATGTTACAGAGACTGTGATAAATACAAACGCAGATCCCACTGTTTTGCTTGCATAAAAACATTTTTTAACTCAGATTTTATGCATAGGGTGGTGTGTTCTTGTGTTCAAACTGACTATTTATTTCTCAATATATACCCTTGCTTACAGTATGACAATATATCGTCAGATTCTTGCCACCTTACCTTTATTTTATACAATGGTCCCAGTGAGTGCATTCATTGATTTTCTTAATATAACTAAATGAAAACAAAATTACATGTCTGTTATTTTTCAGATCATTGCATTTGATGAGCTCCGCACAGACTTCAAAAACCCCATTGATCAGAGCAATCCCACCAGAGCGGTAAGAACCCTGCTGTTTCACTTCTTTCAAGAATGATCAAACCCTCGTGTGTACATAGAAATTCCTTCTTTTTAGTTCCAAGAGGAACCCTCAATGATCTACACATAAAAACTGAGAGCAAATTGACGGTTTCTCTCGACAAATGTTGCACATGACCATAAATCTCAGTATCAGTCAATATTACAAATTTCCAAGTTTCATCGAGTTCATAAACTGATTTTTATAAATAATGGTGTCTCATGAGATACCCACAGCACACAGTAATGTAATGCCTGCAATCAAACTGGAAGAGCAAGCATCATTTCATGTAAATTAAGGTTTTGTAATTTTGGAACAAAATCTTTCAAATGTTTATTAATTTATAAACATCAAATATTTGTACTATTTTGAAAACAATTCCAACTAATCCAAGCCTCCAGGTGATTGCAACAGTGACAGGGCAAGTTTGCCTGCTCATTGAACACTCATTTGTATGCAGATTGAAGCAATCAACCTTCTACATAGACGGTTGGCTTGTTGGCTTAATCAATTAAAAAGATTGATGCAAATGAAGCTGCTGTTTATACAATGACATACTGAGCTGCCGCCACAGTAAAAGTGCAGATGTAAGGTTCCACCTAACTGTAACACCAACAAACTTATTCACAACTGAAAATCCAAATTCTTTCTTAATCTTTTGCAACAACACAAAATAGCATCATGAGTCAATACTGAATAAATGCCATTATTCTTTTAGCGAGTTAACAGCAGCTGTGAATGTCTTTTTCACAAGTTAGCTAATGTTCTAGCAATCATGTGAACCTGCATCTGAACTGCAAAGTGATGAGGAGTGGGAGAGGAAACTGTGAAAGCCGACTGTGGGAGTGTGGGGGCACGCCAGATATGGACACAATAACTGCAACACCTGTAAAATGTAACGCAACCGAATACAGTCGTGAATGTTCAGTTCAAAGTGGATGTGTTATTTTCCTCCTCAGACAAAGATGGAGGGCTCGTTTCTCTCAACAAATATTGAACATGACACACTTCAGAGCAGCAGGATTTGTATGTGGGCTGCTGTATTGGATTGAATTACACTGTACAGGTGTTTTTTCAATCAATAACAAACAACCTAAACGTGTCATCTTGACTGATGTCAACATGTCAGGTGTGTTGAGAAAGAACATGATCAGCCAGGATGTGATGCTGCCAGTCTCTCCCAAAATCAATAAACTGCACAAACAGAAGAAGACACACATGGCAAACACCTGGGAAAATAAACAGCAATTATTTCTGATGTTAGCAGAGACCAGCACGTGATCACTCAACTGCCATTGTCTACAAAAGCAGTAAATATTTGTTAGTGAGGGAAAAATTACAAAAGAACACAATAAAAGAGACTGAACATGTGTCTCCAGATCAGGTTCATGTGTATCGCAGTTGCAGTCTAAAAGGGGCACACATTGATTGGCTGGTTCACAAAAAGTGGCTGAAATGAGGAATTATTTCCTCTTGAAATGCCTTAAAAGGTGAATCACCTATGCTCTTGACATTTCATTCTGAATTATATGCCTGTTTTTTTTTATTCTTACCGCCTACTTGGCCATAATCACTTCATTAGATTTCTGACTAAACTACATACTTGACAACACTCTTTACCTTGCCTCTTTTGTGTGTTCTGTATATTGTGATTAATGTGCTGGTTATGTTTCCTTGGTTGGAACTATTAAATATTCAGAATGAACTGGATGACCTGACACTAATTAGGGCACCTCGGGGAAGCTCCAGGCTGTAAAATCCAAACAGAGTTATTGCAGGACAACAGTTTCTAAGTGCAGTTACAAACCATACAATGTGCAGTAGCTTAGCTGGCAGGTCCACCACTGTGCTCCTTACACTTTAAAGCTTGGTGTCGTGAAAGGATGTGGTGCACAAAGCAAGCGAAAAGCAGAGAATTACATTGAGCAATACCAACAACTGCAAATAAACAGTGAGGCTGGACAGCCAGACTCTGGTTTGGAGGCTGAATGCTGTAGATTCAGGGAAAAATCCACTTTCAGGTTCATGGGTTTAGGGGAGTTACAATTTATGTCCACAGATTGACAAAAGGTGCAGCCTGTGGCTCCGGCTGAAGGGAACAGACATCACAAGTGCCTTAATACTGGGAGCCATAATCCTCTAACTAAGACATTTGCCTCAGTATGTAACAGTATGAGTATGAGAGTCCAGTTGAGGCTTCATTAAATACAGAGGAAACAAACACCAGTATGGTTTACACATGCTAATATGAAGCAATCAGGAAATATGTAGCATTTCATGCTGCTTATCTACTTGATGTTTCACTAAATAAATGAAGGAAAACAAATTTACAATCCATCTGTTAATTGCCTGACTCTTGGTACTTTTTATGTACCTGCTCTCAGCCCTTTGATGGAAACTGATTAATCTAGGCGGATGTACTGCAGCAGAACATCTCATTTGGTAGCTAATCAATGGACACCCTAATAAAACATCACCATAAGCAACCACTAGCTGCTGACTGTTAGATGCAGTAGAAGATGGATGGTTTTCATTCCTAAAAGCGATCATTGAGCTCTCTCTCATGGCACACAGGAGACTGAAAGAGCCATGGTTAATGAGGAAAAGTGCCAAAGGTGTGCACCAGTCATCGCTGTCCTTATTGCTACAAATGTGGCTGCTGTGTTTTTGTACTGATGAACAGTTTCTATCAGTTTCACTTTCTCAACAACCCACCATTTATTTTTAATGCTTGGTTGCCTGAGAGAAATATATAATGGACGACAGCTTAAGAGTTTGAGATAGAAAAGGTAGCTGGTTACTCAGCCAATTTTTATTCATTAATTCATATTGGTTGTTAAGTCTTTTTTCAGGTCGAGCTGTGTGGTATGTAGGACGGAGAGAGCAGGAATCTCCATATATTTGAAAGTCATCAGGTCTAGTTTTTACATTTTATTGATGTGTCACTGAAAGGAGCCAGAAGCTGAAATCCCTTAAAGCTGAATTCTCTGAAACTTAAAAATCAAGTATTATCTCTTTTATAATCTACTTCATGGGTAGACACAGTCAGTAAAAAGTGTGAAGAAATGTGCAGACTGTTAATGAGACTTTCTTTATTTGTACTCTGCAGAGGGAAAGGATTCTTAACATTGAAAGAATCTGCAACCTGCTTCGCAAAGTGAGTAATAGTTATCTTTTACCTGCTGCTGGTGGGTGACTTAAACAGAGGGGCTTCAGACAAACATGACCATAACGCACACTGATTCATTTCACATGCAGCAACTCCTCACAACCCATCACCACTGCTCTGGACAGAGCACACTTTTATGTGTGTTGTGATGTTTTTTTCTACATGTTAAGGCTTTCAGAAAGAGAACTCAGTGTCCTTGAAATGTGACATGCTGTGGAGGCCATTTTGAACGTGTGTGTTGGAAAAGGCTCAACAGCGTTATGTACAACAGTGGCTTTTGCTTAGCTATGTAATTATATCAGGAAATACATATGATACATAAATAGCCTTAATTCATCAGTCAAGGTAGCATGCTAATTGCACTATTAGCGTCCATGTATTTATGCAGACAGTACAGTACAGTATTATCTTACAAGGTTAGCTCTGAGATTATAATTTGAGCCAGAATGTGTTTTACATCTGGACAAATTATTTTGTGACATAATGATCATTGGTCAGCAAAAAATATCTGTCATGGGAAGAAATTCTATTAGCTGCAAAGGAAGAAATTGGTTATTGGAGGATTACCAGTATGAAGCTACTGGTATTCATTTTAACAGTGCACTGCAAGGAACTTAATTGCCACTGATATATACCCACCCCATCACTAAAAAGAAATTAGATGATCCATATTCGTTTAATATCTGCCTAAGTGCAAATATAATTGCAATTACCTTTAACTGTTGCAGAGGGAAACAACATGCAGAGGCACATGTTTCATCGTCAGCATTGACTTAAATAGCAAAAACCAAAATGCAGAGGATGATGCATTAAAAACATATCTATTCCCTCATCAATTTTCAAATAGAAAGGTGATCAATCTAGCCTGGTAATCAGACTAAATTGTCATATTGTTTTCACTTGATTATTCAGTCTGACAGTCTGTACACCAACCCAGCCCAGAGGTTATTTTGTTTTATCTGTCCCATCAACAATGTTGTCAGTCGAAAGAGAAACTGTAGCGACTGCTTGGAGGAGTTAAAGGTTGCCTTGTTGAAAAGAAAAAGCTGTTTCTAAAGCTGTTAATTCTTGCAAACATGTTTTGCATTAACAGTGGATATGTGAAAGGATTCCCTCGTACTTATGAACCTACTGAGAGTTACCACCCTACTCTGCAATTCCTCTTACAGACTTTCAGCTCATTGTTTTGGTTTTTCCTTCCTGCAACATTACTGTTTTGTTTCAGTCTCCTCTCGTAGCATTGCTTTGGGCCTCAGCAGGCAGCTGTTTGAATAGAAAACGACTGACTGTACACTGTACGCTTCACCACCAAACGGCAAACAGGCACTTAGCGACTAGCTTGTGAACATAGTGCAGCATTTAGCAGCTAAAGAGATATTTCTCACAGGAGTTGGTTTGCAGCTGGATGTGCAAATATGCAACTGTTTGTTAACGAGTTTGCCATATCAACTCTGAAAGGTGATAATATGACAGCGTTGTGTTCACACAGCTTGTTGATTAAGAGGTCTGGAAGCGAGCTAGCGATCTGAGCAACCTGAAGCATCTGTGTCAAACATCCACTCCTATTAACATCTAAAACCCAATCTACATGTGTTTAAAACTATATTTGCACTCGTAGCGGCAGCGAGCCATGAGTAACATTAACACCTTCTGTGTGAAAGCGTTTGCCTCACAGTGTAATTTTGGTTTTCATAGATCGTAGTTATAGCACAACATGCAATGGGTGTTTCAGTGGTTTCCAAGACGCTGTTGCAGTGTGATCACTGAATCATTTCAGTTTCTAAGTAACATGCAGACCTATACCCTGACTCCCTGTGTCTGTTCTGGTTAGTTGGTGGTACCAGAGTATTCCATCCACGGGCTCTTCTGCCTGATGTTCATGTGTGCCGGAGAGTGGGTCACACTTGGCCTAAATATCCCGCTGCTCTTCTACCATCTGTGGAGGTACGGTCCCATAACAGATGTCTCATAAGCTTCTGTTGGTCCGATGTGAGAGTGAGCCAAACCTCTCTGCTTTTTCAGGTTTTTTCATCGGCCAGCTGATGGGTCAGAGGTCATGTATGATCCCGTCAGTGTGATGAATGCCGACATTCTCAATTATTGCCAGAAGGAGTCCTGGTGTAAGCTGGGCTTTTATCTGCTCTCATTCTTCTACTATCTCTACAGGTAAGTGTAAACTGACACTCTTTTCAATGCACTGTTGCTTGGTTAGGTGTGAGTGATGCCTTTTTCGAGTTGTTGTGATTTTGTATGAACTTTTAAAGATAAAAAAAAAAGCAGCACAGTTACTGTCTTCTCCCTATTTTTTCACGGCCTATTTCCTGCTGAAGTATGGTCTACGCCTTGGTGAGCTTCTAACAGACAGGAGATCTGGAGGAATAAAAGGAAGGAACAGTAAGAAAGACACAGAAGAACAAATGGAGACATCAGCTCTTCCTCTCTCCATGTATCCTTCCCATCACTGGCTTGGGTTTTCAACAGTCTAACCTTGGACAAAACAAAAAGACCAATCTGAGTGATAATGTGAATGTAAAGGTGTTGCCTCCGCTCCATTATATCGCTTTATCCCAGATACTGCTGTTGGACAGCTGGACACATTTTGTGAAGGATTGAAATTAAACATAAAGAGGATGCAGCAGGTGTTTGTGTTGCCTTTGACCCATTATAGGATATATTTCTGAAGGGCTGGAGTTTTCCCATGCTGCTCTTAACTGATCCAGTCACTCAACTCACTGTGAATCCCCCAAACACTTAGGGGCTGGAAAACAGGATAATACGTCTGTATTCTTTGACTTTGAAAATGTACTAAAAGCAGGATTGTTTTGGTATCATTCCATGTATTTAAGATGATAAACACCTCTAATATCAAGCCACTGCTCTGATTGTGTTACAGGCACATAAAACTGTAAGAAACAGGTTCAGTTGTACAGGAGAACTTTAAAGCACTGTAAGAAATGCGGATGGTCCTGGCAGGGAAATACCAGATTGGTGTGTGCACAGACACTTTTAACCAGGATGGAGATAAAGCATAGCAACATCTCCTTGATGCCAGCCTCTGACAAAAGTCAAACGTCACGCTATAACAAGGAATTAATCATAAGTTCGACTTCAAGGGTCAGTGCTTGTAATGTGCATTCAAAATAAGTATGTCCATAGCTGTAAGGACCTCTTTTATGCTACATGCTAGGTTCATGCTTTCCAAAGAGCTTAATGCTCAGACATATAATGCCAAAAGTTTATATCTGAAAAACATTGTGCCAAATTAAGAAGTCAATTAGGACACGTGAAAAGAAAAACTATTAGGCTAAGTGTTTACAGTGTCTTCATCTACATGCTAAGGCACTGTAAGGCCTTGTCTTTATTTTCACTCCTGTTTGATTTTGGCACAATGTTTTTTTTACTTGAAAAAATAGAAAAAAAACGCAGTTCTGTCGTACTTTTTAGTGTGCAGGGAGAGCCTTATTCCTATTTCCAGTGAAGTTTACTCTTACTCATCTTCATCTATACTATAGTCATTTTAGCACAGCAACTTTTCTCTGATTCGAGGTAGAATATAGAAATATCATGTACAAAAAGCAATTAAAAACAGCAAACTAGCAATGTAATATGACTCATGACATACCGATGTAGTGTTATTCAGTGTATGTAATAACAGTGAGTGGGACACAAGTGGCAGATGAGACAATGACTCTTTGACAGTGTCAGTTATTTCAGAAATGTAAAGACAGTGAAGTCATCTCAATATGTCTACATCATACAGTTTCAGAAGGGACAGACGTAAAACGTTAATGTTGCTGATGACCAAGATTTGTAAAAGACTTGTAAACAGCAAAGCCTTTCCTCAGCTGGTGCTGCCTTTGCTATCATGTGTTTATTAGTTTGATCTGTTTGTAGATAAGTGATGGTTCAAATGTGTCATCTTAACATCAGTAGAAAACAGAATCTCTGGAGCCTGAGAACAAACTGTGTTGTTCGTCATACGCCGGCTCCACATGTGGTAAATGGTTGTGATGACCCGTCTGGTATATAAACTGTGGGACTCACTTAGGGAAAAAAAAAACGTCTTGAATATGACAGCCTATTAAAGTAGTTTCTGATTATGTCAAAAGAAAAACACACTTAAACACGAGCTCACATGAAGATCCAACTGTAGTTGCATCACTAATCCTTTATTATCACCGATATTCAGGATCTTCTTTTTCATTTTTAAGCAGGCGAAATAAACTCTGGAAACTTAAATACTGCAAAATAATTTATCTGTACATTTAGGTTTAACTACATTTCAATTGGAAGCATATAACTATGATAACAATGTGAATTAAATAGCAATATCATAGGATAAGGCTGGCATGGTTCTATATTTTAGTAATGAAAAGACTTCCTCGGCTGTGGCTCTCAGCATCATTTGACACCGATTTTTAAAAACGGGTCACAAATAGATTGTGTAATTTTTAAAAAGGCAAAATAATTTTAAAAAGTTTCTTGGGAACTATTTTCAGCAGTGGATTAATACACATCTGCCACATTGGTGAGTTTTTACAGCATCAGGAGTCAGGATGGTGTGTGTGGGATTGATTTAAAATAAACTACAGTGCCCATGTTGATCATAATAAATGAACACCCAGAGTTACAGTGTGGCTCAGTGATGTGTTTTTAATAATTGAATATATAGCTTTATGACACAGAGGAATCCACCAAATTGAGCTTTTGCTACAAAAGTTGGTCTGTTCATAGGGTTTGATAATATAAAATATAACATAGAAAAACACCAGTCTTATCCTTACAAAGAAGAGTTTCATTTCCAATCCAAAACTGTTTTAAAAAGTGATACATGCATCACTTTCATTTAAAATGTCACACAATAGCTTCACTGCAGAAGACTATCAGGTTTAAAAAACGCTTTGTCCTGACTGCTGCTACGGTAGTCGACCTGTAACAATGTGTAATGTGTACATTTTTGACCGTTACCGATATGAAATGCCACAAGCTCTGTGGTAGAGCTTCACCACACACGCACACCTCTTGTGTCAATCATAGTCCTTTTCATGTCACTTTGGTACTAATGAGGGGGTTAGAAGGAGCAGCTCAAAGTGCATGTGTGATTTGAATTTCAACCAAATGGCAACACTTGACTACTCGGCTGAAGCAACTTTAATAGTCTGTCAGTGTTCCTGAAGACACACAGTAGACAGTACGTGTTGTGCGAAATTATGTTCCCATTAAAATAATCACAGGACAATGAGACCTCAAAACTCTGCCAACAATGTGAGCGTGTTGAGTCTGGACAATCACTATTAAAGCACAGAAACACAAGGCAAGGAGGAGAAATACAGCTCGGTTGAATGTCATTATGTAGTTGCTCTAAACAAAGCATTTTAGAAAATTGTATTTAAGTATATCTATTTGTATCTGTCTTTTATACATTTATCATCAATGTACGCTACAGTAAATTTGGTGGATTACTTTATATTTATTAGGTTACACTATGATGTACAGTTAATAAACAGCGATTCCCATGCCATATTCTAATAAAACAGTAATGCCAAAAATGGTCCAAGTTTCTTTTTTCCTGTGTGCTGAGGGTCAGTATTTTCCCCATCTGTTAGGAGTTATGCAGACGTGATGACACTAGACATGTACTAGAAGAGAAAAATATAACTGTGAGGATGATGAGGAGAATTTATAAGCGAGGATACTGAGTGCTGCATTAGACGGAGCACAGAAGACGAACTGCCACATCGAGAGCAGTCGAAAAAAAACAGCTGCATTTAGAAGTGGTTACACAGACATTCGCACAGCCTCTTAAAAAGCACAGAAATAACTGAATTCACTGAAATGCCTCACTGATGTGAAAAGAGCTTCTACTGGAGTGGCAGCAGAGAGTGGATGATAACCTTTAATTAATGTCTATACCTCCAGAATACTAATTACAGAGCACTGGATGCATAACAAAACTAAGTTGTTCATCTCCACAGCAAGAGATCACTGAAGAAAATGTCACTGCAGCTGTAATACATTCATCATTTTTGGGCATTTTCTATGCTCAGCAACAGTTTTTCTTTCGTCTGATTGCAAAAGGAGAAAAGAAATTGCAGAAAATGCTGAGTGTGTCTCGGAGTCGGCTCAGGGACTCATTTGTAGGCTCTGTAAGGTTTGCCAGGTTATCACTTGTCTAAATAATGATTCAGACAGAAAACAGAGCAACAACGAACCTTCAAGCTGGCGTTTTCCCTCTGTTTGAAAAGGACATATCATTCCCCCGCTGTCACCATGGAAACTAAATTGTATTAGAGATTCCTGTTGACTCACTCTGAGGCTCTCACTCAAAACACAGAAAGATCCAATTCAAGTTGGTTCACATGCCCGGCAGCACTGATTCTCTACACAATACATTCTTTTAAAATTTAGATTATATCAATAACAGTTTCATGTATGTAGTCATGACAACCAGAACCCCAATGCCTCTGTGCATGACACCTGCTTATCCCAGAATACTGACACACATACACACAGCAACATGCAGGCACACGCACATACACATTTGCTCGCTCACTCACAACACATACATCTGTTTCTCATTTGGTCTCATCCCACGGTTCACACCGTTTCACACTCATCATCCCAGGCTCTTCCTTTTTCAGCACCCTCCACCAAGATAATTGTCTCAACTCCTTTCCCCTCTCTCCTACGTCTGTGCTCTCAGAGAGCTGTTGCCATGGAAACTGGCTACAACTGATGGGCCTGAAACGTCAGGATTGGCATACACAATAGGCAAGTACATGCACACTCAGATGTACAAGCACAGACACACACACACACACACACACACACACACACACACACACACACACACACACACACACACACACACACACACACACATACAGTTCGCTCATTCATTATTATGCAAGGCACTCTGGGATGTTGCACATTATTATGGCTGTATAGACATGCATATACAAGAAAACCAGCAGAACATCGTCTATGAGGGTCATGCACTTGATAAGTAAACATGTAATTGAAGCTTCATGTTAAGCTTCATTGGCAGAAAGCCCCACAGTGACAATTACTGGGAGACTAGACAGAGAAGAGAAAACATAACTCGAAAGTTAATTATTTGATTAAAAAGGAAAAAGGAGAAGAGGAAGAAATAAAATAGGCTAGTTGTGTGGCCTGTAGGAATTTTGTTTAATCATTTTATGGACTTTGCAATTTTCATTTAATGGCTAAGGCAAAAAAAAAAAACTGAAAATCACCACCTTACTCACTAATCAACTCTGGTCATTAAATTAATTTAGTTTGATCGTTTTAAAATTGCCAATGCAAAATGCAAATCTTGTGTTTGCTTTCTTTCATCCTAAGAATGAAGCTGGAACAGATGTGCTGTCTAAACAGTGGCTGTTTGTGTCCAAGAATGTGTCAAACCTGTTCACACTTGTGTTTTATTTGGGCCAAGGATCGTCTGTCCAGACAGAGACTTGAGCGTCACTCACTCTGTCAGCTGCTGTCTCTTTTATAAAAATATCCCCATTGCTTTTATCTGTAACTAAATACTGAGTTCATTTTCAACTAATGGCCTTGTTTATAACAAACCATGACGTTTCATTTGTCAATTATGTGCCAATTACTCTCTAAAACAAATTAGACAATGTGACCTTCAGAATGTGCTTTTGGTAAAAAATGAAAATCACATCAGTGCTGTTATTTATAAGCTGTGAATCTGTGATGGAATATAAAAACAACAACAACATTGGTGTGTAGCCATGCTGGTGGTTTTGATCACTTAAGAATATATGGGACAGGTATACAGACGTGCAGGTTGTTGATATAAGGTGTGTAATGGTCTTTTTAATCAGGCAGGTCTGCTCACAACTTTAAGATACATTTTTTAAGATCAAATCACAGAATATGTTTTATGAATGAGGCCCTGAGGCTTTAATATCTTCAGTTTCTGCTGTGCTCCTTTTGCTCTTAGTAATGATTATGACTGTCTAATTTTACCCCCGACGACAGAATACTGAAATATTGATTGTAATGGAGGTTAAATACTTGAAACATCGTTAGAACTTTCTGTGAGGAGGAAGAGAAACAGCAACTTTTCATCTTTGCTGCATGGTCAGAGAATTTGAGTTTGTGATTTTAGTTATCCAAATTTGTCATTATCTTCACTAAAGATGGATGAGGAGCTTCAGCACTGTGTGTTTGTATGAGTGGTGGAAGAAGTGTTTAGATCTTTTCATTAAGTCAAAATACCAATACAACAATGGAAAAGTACTCATTTACAAGTAAAAGTAATGCATTCAAAACCCAGTTGATTATGGTGGCCCCTGTGGACAAAAGCAGCAGTGTTTCTGCTGCCTCGCTTCATTGATTTCAAGGTGAATCTGACCCGGTGGCAGGCATTAAGATTGCCTATAGAAACAGCCAATCTCATCACTGATGGTCTTGTTTGTTTATGTAAGTCTTATAGAGGGATCAGTATTAAATTGAGCCTTTGCGAACCAGTTAAAAACCCCATGTGGTACGTTTATATGGTTAAATATTACATTCTCAGATTGTTATTACTGATGCATGAATATCAGCGGTTTGCTGTTGTATCTGGTCGAGCTGGAGTTAATTTTTTAGTTTAGTGCAGTGGGTCCAAATCCTAATCTTTGATTTGGTTGTGACATATTGGATAATTTCACCTTTTCAAACAATTATGTAAACAAATTAAGTTAACTAACAAGTTTAGAGGGAGAAATCCTTCTTTTACTGCTAACTAACAGTTAATTCAGTTATTTGTGACAAAGAAGAAGCTCTGACTCTTTTTTTAATAATTTGTCACAAGTGAAAAAGAAATCACCAGTTTAATCTTTACAAATGCATTGTATTTCATGAGGTTATCGTGTGTTTTAAATTCTTAATCTGAAAAGTAAGGATACTTCTGTCTAAATTGTAGTGGAGCAGAAGTATGTAAGTTGTATTTTCATATAATGATGTGAAAATACAAGCACCTTAAAACTGTACTGTATAAACAAAATTCTGATTCTGATTTTGATTCTGATTAAATGTATTTTGCTACTTTCCACCACGGGTCTGTTTCCATTATTAAATTAAATATTAGAGTGGTCT